CAAATTGGCCATTCCTGTGGCTCTAGTCAAGGAACTAGAGACGGAAGTTCAGCACTGGCATTTAACCCAGCGTTTGGCTCCTGAGGTTACAAGCAGGAACGACTGAGAAAAGCAAATCCGCAGCTGAAAACAGGAAAGGTTAAAAGATCGGCTGCGGCGTGAACCGGGGAATTCAGTAACATCTGCGAGAGTTGACCGGAACTAGAAACCTCGAAAGCTTTTTACGTGAAACTTGACAATACAGAACCAAGCAACCGTCAACTGGCAGACACGGGTACAACGACACTGCTAAGCTCCAACTGCGGCTTTTCCCAGCAGCCGATGCCAGGATTACAGTACCCAGGAAATTTAAAAATTGAAACTCAACTGTGTGAGGGGCAAAGTTCTCTTTCGAACAGAAATCCAGCAGGGCATGACCACAGCCTCACAGATCCTGACAGCTTGAGAAGGATCTTAACAAAAAAATCATTTCCACTGTTACCTCCTTACTCTATGGCAACTAGCTGGGACAGGAGACCTCTCCACTGCAAAGCAAGGCAGCAGCTGCCCGAGGTGGACACTACACATTGCACAGAGAGAAGCAGTAACAGCAAAGTCTCCGTAGAACTCGTTCTATTTATTTGCCGGGAGGGAGAGCACAGAACTCATGCTCCAAATTAAAAATGGGGCCAGGAAAAGCTTGGGGTCGGGGTATTCTTTTGTTTAAACAGACAGGAAGCTGCAAATGCCAGTGGCCACGTGGCTCTGCACAGGGGTAGTCAAGCAGTCTGCATTTGTGAAGCGTGTGTTGGAGGGAGGGAGGGCTCAGACAGACAGCGATACAAAACTGTTGTACTGCTGGATGTTGCGCTTGAGAATATCCGAGCACGGACCCAGGACGCGTTCGAATCGGGGGCGGTCGAGCTTCACGCACTTCAATGGGCCACGGGCAACGACTGTGGCAGCACGAGGGCGGTTCATCAAGAGAGCTATTTCACCTGGATTGACAGAAAAGGGAGCACGGGTGAGAGTCAGCTCCACGCGTCAAGGGAGTCAGGACCACGGCACGCAGTCACGGGGCAAGCGCGGGCTCCTAGCACCGGCCAGAAACAGGAACTCGGAACAGGGGTTTTTTTAGTAAAAGTGTGGAAAAGCTGCGTTGACGGGACTCGAGGGAAAAAAAGGAGAACTGCGGAAAGGAACCAGGCGTGTTATTCAGCCAAGACTTGCACTCAAGCCTATGCAGGGAGACTGCACTCAGCCCAGCGTGCTGCGTCAGTCGAGCAGTGGTTCTCAGCCTCTTTGAACTAGGCCCCTCCATCACTTCTGTCAATTGAGCAGCACCCATTTAAAAAATGAACGTATATATTACAGTGCTTACCCACCCCTCCACCGCCCAAACCCTTGGTAGAGAGATGAGGGACCGGCCAGGCAGGTGTCAGCTCTCTGGCTGAGAATCCCCGCAGCAGATGCATCAGCTTGCTGAAGTGGACCTGGCTGAATACACCGTTTTCCTAATGAACAAAAACCTAACCGATGCTTAAAACGGAGCAGGCGCACATTATGTACAGGCAGAGGAAAAGGCCATTTCAGCTACAGCAAAAGAGAAGGTCTGGAGGACTCAGTGTCACAGGCCAAGGAAAAGGAGCCCTCGGTTACAATCAAACCCCACAAACCATAGGTCCTCATATAAGACACAAAAGGTCCTTAATCAGGCATGGCTTGGGATTACAGGCAGGGCCTGCTTTCTTTAGAAGCTTATTGTTCAGCTACGCGAAAGGGCAGCCGCAAAACCAGAAGGTACGTTCAGAACCCGTCTTGATTGCCGAGCATGGAGAAAATGGATGTGGTCAACGGGGAAACTGAATTTCCTCCCAAGTGGTCTGCACCTGTGTTGTAGCCACAGCGACTAAGCAGCTCCTAAAGGGTGCATGCGTGCAGGGCTGGGGGGAAGACGGCATGGCTTTTTTCTCCATTTACTTTGACACACCAAGATGTCCACCATCTTTTTAAATCAAAAAGTGCTCCTCGAGTCACAGGCTGGGCAAGAGGACCCTGTTCTCAGCTCACTTGTGCTCTTCTGCCCTGCAGGAGGGTGATCGATTTGTCACAGTCCCGGCAGAGCTGAAAGACTAAAGCGCACTTACTGCTTGCACGAGGCAGGACGGGGCAGGGAAAGAAGGTCTGATCGCTGCGTCCTGCTCTGGGCTGGTGCCCGGGACACCTCTGTGCAGTCTCAGCAGACACTAACAACATGCACACACTGCACAGCATTTTTTTTTAATTAGAACAAGAAAGCAACTTGATTTAAAAAATTAAATCAGTGTCTCTTCAAAATGCAAACGAGTCTAGAGCAAAGAACACCTGATTACGTCACTGCTCACAGACACTTTTTTCATCAGAACCTTAAAAAAGCCGAAATAAATGGAGACACTTTCCACAAGGGTTGGAGACACAAACACGAGCCCAATCGGTCTCAAGTGAAGTCTGTTTGCTCACCTTTTCCATCCCACTATTTGTTATGTTGTATCCTGCTACACTTTCCTTTGCTACCAGTGGATAGATGAGAATTTCCAGAACAAATCAATTTAACTAAGCCAACGCTACATGCAGTCAAGAGGCCGATGTAATGGGACAGGTTTGAGACCTTAGAACTGAGACCCTACCATCCTCCCACCTTGCACACCCCACTGCCTCTTCAGAGCTGTACATGGCACTCAGAGCATCCCTGAGATAGCTGTTTTATTCATTTTGTACCTATTTGCAGACTGGCAACTCAGCAGCACTACCACTGCCATCCCGACAGGCATGGAAGAAGCAGTACCCCGCCAGCCACCAGCCAAGCAGGGGAAGAAACAAGGGTAGCAGGGCAGCCAAACAGATGCAGCAACATAACTCACCAAAGTAATCCGAAGGTGCCAGTCTGCCCACTTCCACAAACTCCTCGTTTTCCGACCTACGCTGCAACACAGCGGCTGTGCCCTTGAACAGAAATCAGTGATCAGTAACTGGTGGTTTCCAGCATCATCAAAACATCTGAAATTCTTCAGAGAATCAACTTCTGCGAGTGCACTGCACAAGAAGCATGTTACCATTAAAGGTCTCCATTCTATGCGAGATGTACTTCTCTAGACCTTCATACCGAGGCAGCCCCACTCCATTTCTTTCTTCTTTGAACCCCCCTGGGATGGCACTTACCTCTTTCACAGAACTCATGCTAGCTCCCAGTTTGCAATTCTACGCACGTCTCAACCTGAGTAGCAGGACATGCTTGACACTGAACGATACTGGTAGCAAGAAGCCATTACTAAACCCCTGCGCTACATTTCTACTCTTCTAGCTAGGCAGTGCTCGAGACTCCTGATCAGCAATGTTAGCAATGCTAAGAAAAGGGCTGATAAATCTTGCTATTTCTGACGTCATGAAGCTACAGGATAATTCCTGGAGATACCAGCCCGATGGGAGACAGAGCGCAGCACAGAACAGGACACAGCTAATCTGAAGGTGGTAAACACAAGCAGCCTTTCATTCCTATCAGATGAGGAGATGCACTCACAGGGGTCTGATCAGCTGGAGGGGCCTGAAACAGTGGCTTCACTCTTAGGAGCAGCAAAAGAAAAGCTGGCCCCAATCACGACCAGATTTCCGACGGTGACTGGTCACCTGGATCCCCTCCCTGCCCTTCCCGCCACCCTCCAGGAGAATCGCACACAAGTCCTGGAGCCAGGGGTCAGTTTGCATAAAAGTCTGCTGCGCCCCAGCACCAGTCACTTCACTCACCTCTAAGATAATAAAGAACTCGTCACCGGGTTCTCCCTGCACCACAATCTTCTGTCCATCCTCAAACTGCACCGGCTCCAGTGCATCAGCGACCGTGAGACGCTCCCACTTGTCCAGAGATTCTAAATGAAGGCAACAGCACTTTAACATCCTTCCTTTCCCCAGTCCCCACATGCAGAAACCGCTCTCTGGTGACAGACACCTGTCAGATCAAGCCCTTTATGACCAACCACCGTAGAAAGCAGCACACGCTCTGCAGGGTTCTGCACTGGGTCCTCAGACTGTCACCACGGAGGTTTCGTGGCTCCATCTCGTTCCATGAAAGAGGAGTCAAACCTCTGCACTCACCCAGTATGGAGACTTTGCTGAGGAACTCCTCGTACATCTTTCTCTTCCTTAATGTACTTCCCTGTAAAAAAAAAGAAAAGCAGGTGAGTGCCAGGCACAGCTGTATTTTGTGCTTCACATTTCTGGTGGTTCAAGGAAAGATTCAAAACAGGTGCCAGGAGCGCACAAGCTCTGCTGGCAGGGCCAAGGTGCGAAGGGTGCAAGGCCCTTCAAATCTCACTGGCCTCAACGAGACCGGTGTGCGCAACACCTTTCATCACGCAGTCCAGCCAAGTGTTACAAGCTCTGCCCCCGGGTTTTCCAGAAAGAACGAACGGTTACACGCACACGTGCCTCGATCCACCTGGGACCAAGGTTTTGCTCGTTGTTTATTTAGGTGCAGAACAAACGAGCAGGCTAAAACTGAAGGGCAGCGGGGTCAAAGCTTGGTAGGACAAGGGCTGTTACTGCAGAGCAGTTATCAGTGCATCTCTGCTCATTTACCGCTGCACGTGGAAGGCAGGAAACGTTGCATTTAGCAGGGCACTCAGAATGCCAGTCCTCCCCTGTGCCAGATCGGCCTAAGTGACGGCCAGATGACTGTCCAAGGCCCGCAGAGACTCAGGGGGTACAAAGCAGAGACCAAGAGACCTGAATGAACTTGCATGATCACTCAAGCAGTATCGAGCCCTGTGCTGGGCCCTGAACCAGCCGCCCAAGCCACACGTTCAAAACAAGAACAAACAACTTGCCATGAGGATTCTCCGGTAGCTGTCTCTGTCGATGCCCCACAACTTCACGTTTGTCTTTGCTTTGACGGTTGCTGCTCGGGGCGTCCCATAGATCAGGGCAAGTTCTCCAAAGCTGCCCCCTTCCCCAACACTGGTTGCCCACTCATTGTTCACGTAAACCTGTGAAGCAAGGCGCTGCAGTGAGCCAGGGTGAAGGCCTGGGCAGAGACCAGGTGAAGTTCCCATCCCTCCACCCCGTGGTCAGAACACATGCTGAAGGGGGCCCTCAGGGAAACACGCTCACTTAAAATGCTGGCCGGTGCTTCAGTGCCGTCCTTGGGATTTCAGCACCGCGGCAGGGCGGCACTGGCACCTGGGCACCAGCGTCAGAACTACCAGCTCTCACACAGCTATTTTTACTGCATGCGCCTTTGTCCACCCAAGGACTCTCAACCCCAGTTTTACAGCTGGGGGAACAAGGAAGGCTCCAGGGTGTCATGGCTGAGACAAGGCCGGTTTAGTTGCGGCTCAGCCTCTCCCTGCTTCCTTCCTGGGCTCAGAAGGCAGGAACGCTGCTGCCAGCACTAACCCAGCAGGACAGGAGCCCCTGCCAGGCTTTGCAAAAGGAGCCACGTGGATGAAGAGCAAAGAGCAGCTCTCGTGGCCCACCCCCACCCCTCCCAGGGCAAGCCTGCCAGAAAGGCTTGTGCAACAGGGGGCAAAAAATAAACAGTCCCGCTGGCTTCCCCAGGAAGGCTCCACAGTGCCGCACTAACACCTCTGCTATGTCCCAGGGAAGGCTGCTTACATCCATTTCCCCTTGATCCACAACGTAGAAGTTGTCTCCTTCGTCACCTGGAGGGGAGACAGCGCATACAAGGGTCAGTGTCTCCACCACCCCATGTAAGGAGCATGCAGGGCCTCACACTTTATTAAGTTGGCATGAGACCATCAAGCATTCATTTCTGCAATGCATCTATCAACCCTTTGCCCCAAGCCCATCAGGAGGGCCCTGGGTAGAGCTAAATGGCTTGCTCCCTGCTGGAGCTCCCACCCCCCCATATCCAGGCCCATTCTTTGTCCTTCCCATGCAAGATCACTCCTGCTGCTTGCCGGAAAAGAGCAGCATTTCTGAGGCTGACCCAGCCCCTCCACCCAGTACGTTCCTACGCTGCACCCAGAGCCACAGGCCAGGGTTTCATGCAGATGAAGCAGAGCAGAGGAGATGGCTCTCTACGGGTCCCCATTCCTCTGGTTCTAGCATAAACCACGCTTCAATATTAAAGAGCCAGCCAGGACTGCTGCACCTACACAACATCCCCACTGCCCTCCAGCAACCAACACTGCTTCCCCCAGCCCACCAACCGGCTAGCAGCACAACCCCAGCACTTGCCTTGCTGTATCACAGTCTCGCCTGCGATGTAGGTGACAGGAAACATGGCATCAAAGATGTCGCTGGAAGAGAGGTTTCCAAATTATGCATGCACCAGTCTGGTTCCCAGTTATATGCATAGAGCAGTATATCCATAGAGCAGTAGGGCTGGAAGGGACCTCCAGAGGTCATCTAGTCCAACCCCTGTCCAAGGCAAGAGCATCCCTGTCCAAACCATCCGATACACATCCATTGTCTAATAAACACTCCATAAAACTACTGTCAATTCTGACACAACACAAGACAGACATCACCCGAACCTGCCACAGGGGAAGCAGGAGGACCATGGCAGCCAACGTCCTGTTTCTATAAAAAAGGTTCCTAATACATGCTCACGAGATCCTGAGTAGAAGCTATGCCCCCTGCCCAGTCCATACCAGTCTGACTGTGGGATAAAATACCAGATTTGGGGTCAGGAAGGAGTCAGTCTGACCCTGAGCAGAAGGGCTAGACCCTGTAGCCAGGAATTTCTGGCTTTGGTCCCAACAGGAGCATTGGTACAGCCCAGTCACAATCCCCAGCCTGGGCTGCAGCCAACACCCAGTGTCTCTGGGGAAGGCCTAAAAAACACTCTGACACATGTAGCAGAAGGCGGGGAATGGAGGGGCCACAAACCAAAGCCTGGGAAATCCTCATAGGAGAGCAAAAGTGCAGCTATGCCCGTGTCATTCCTAACCAGTGGCTGCCCAACCTCTTCTTGATCCCCTCCAGGGCTCACAAGCGTGGCCAGTTTGGAGGTCTGTTCTCCATGATTCCTCTCTTCTTATCAAGAGAGACATGCAATGGCACTAAAAGCTGCACAGCTTTGTGTTGTGATTTGAATGTGTTCTCTAAATCCTAAAAAGCTTAAACTACAGTGTCAGCGCCCCACTGGTGCAGCAGGAGCAGGTTACCCGATTAGCTCTTACCTCCTTTCATTATCGTCCAGGTGGGCAAACAGCACATTTTTCTCAATGGCCTTTGCCAAAGCAGCCATAGTCTTGTAATCTTTGGGAATAACCTAGAAAGCAATAAAAAGTTGTAGTCCACGTTCTCACTCATTATGAATAACCTCTGCATGCGCTGCGCCAGTGACGCTCACCCACGCACGGCTACAAAACGTGAGTATTCGTTTTTCAGAAAAGCACACCGATGTAAGAATGAAAGCTGGGAAGCATCTTCCCTGGGAACTGGCAAAAAGAAAATGAGGTGGTAGTGCATGCAACTACTAAAACAGGATTCCAGGATGAAGTCTGCCCCTGCCTCCACACAGAGGTGGCAAGGGGCTGTTTGTGGAAAGGAGCATGTCAGGAGAGGACAGTGGGAAGCTGCTCTGCAAGACACAAACAGACAGGGCAGGGAGCCAGGGGAAGTCTCAGGTTTTGCCAAGGGAGACCAGGGTGGAAGGGGCACAACGTGTCCAGAGGCAGAAACGGCCCAGGTGGACACGAGATCCCTGGGCCAGATGCAGCCAGTTGCTCTAAGCTGAGAGAGAGAGTAACTGCCACACACGTGCACCGGCTGTGTCACACAGGCTAGCAAGGCCACGCCAGCTGGGCTTTACCCTGAAATCAGGCACAAAACACTGGTTGTGATGTGTCTTCGTGCAAAGCCCTGTGGGGAGGGGGAGGGAGGAAGGAAAACCAGGAGCATGGGAGTAGAGGGTCTTTATATCACCACAGCTCTGAGTCAGAAGTGGGGAGCAGTGACTAGAGCCCACCTTTCTGACATAAGACGCTGCATCCTCTTCTGTATAGACTTCTGCACTAATGGCCCCACGCCTTCGCCGACCCTTCACCACAGGGTTCATGGGAGGAGGAGGGGAGATTTCATCCTCCCGTGAGTCCGAGCGTGAACCCGATTTCTGTTGGTTCAACAGCTGCTTTGCTTCCTCCTGGACAGGAAGGAGAAGATATTTCAGTGTCACACAATCCACCCACCAGAGTCCAAGCACGGCCGCGTATCGGGTTCCAGTTCAGCGTGCCAGGGCCAGCGCGCTTCCTGCCTGCGGCTCATCTTGCATTAAGATAGATGGGAAAAGGGAGCTGTCCTGCCTGGGAAAAGAAGTGTTGCAAGGCAGCATAACAGATACGAGTGTCACATATGCAGGGCCCGTCACTGCCACTCGCACCCCTACCAGCATGAAATAGCAGGCTCATTCTCTGAGCAGAACTGCTCTACAGGGCAGAAACCCTGCTTTACTGCTGCTCACAAGGAAGCTGATTTTTTTTAGCCAGGCAAGGCCACACCTTTGAACTCGAGGAGAGGACAAGCTGCCCAGCAAACCACATTACCAGAGGAGTTGCTGGAAACAAGGTCAAGCCATTGACCGAGCAGGTCTTTAACCTCCTGGGGCTATTTTAAGAGAAAAGAACATGAATGGTGCTGGTAAGTGAGCTGCAGGAAGGATGCTAGAGTCCAAGCCACACATTTGGCAGCTATGTCAGGTTATGCGCATCCGGCCCGTGCGCTCCTGTTGTGTACTGTCATTAGCAACACCGCAGACTCTTCCGACTGGAATCAAATTCCCTTGCTAGTCTGACGCAGGCGGGCTCCCCTCCGTACTCGAGAGCTGACTTAATGGACTAAGCACAGGTCTGATGTAGCGAGACACCTGGAGCCCAAGTGTTCAAAGCCATAACAGCTTCAGCTAAGCTCCCCGACCGCCCTGCATGCAGGCTTAAACACCCAGGAACTGGCAGCTCTGCAAGGACCCCAGAGCTGGGGTGAGGACAGCATTTCTTTTCAAATCTCAGTGCCCATTCTGCCCAGAGTCCTTGATCAAACTGCTCCTGGGCAACAGCCTCTTTGGTGCCATCCTCTGCTCTGGAGATACAGGTGGAGCCGCTCCAGTGCTATGTATAACTGGAGAGCAGCGGGGAGAAAGCAGGCAGATAAAAATGTAAACTCCCTGTAATGTTTATCCTGCTCAGCTGGCCAATGAGCCTGCACTGGCCTCATCAGTCAAGTTTCACTTCCTGCCCCTCCTGCATTAATGGAAGTGTCACATTTCAGTGCTTGCTCTTTCCACGAGCAAGAACAGAATCAAGCCGCTACATCTAGGTTTGGTGAAAACCATCGCGACAATGAAAGCGCTAGACCGAAACCCCAGCACTGGCGACGAGGCTGCCCAGATACTCCCTCTGCCGTCACTGTCACACAGGCACTATCGCGAGAGGGGCGGTACGTAGGTAATAGCCATCATAAGGAATCCGAAGCGGATGAGGCCGACTCCCTTGGCTCAGTGCACGTAAATACGTATTAAGATCACTTGAAGCCTAATGAGTTTCAAGGGCAGCAGTGAGGTGCAGTCCCTTGCTCGCTGTCAGTTAACGTTCCCATTCTCTCTCTCAAAGAGACCCTCTCCTGTGCAAGCAGCTCGCTAAAGCAGCAGGGGAATCAACCTGCTCTACAGAGAAAGGAAGGCATCAGTCCACTCCAGATTTACTTCAGGACACAGAGGTATAAAGGACCTTCTGATTTGAGACCATGTTCCTGCCACAGCAGAAGAGGGTAATTTCAGTTGGGGCCCTTTGATCATCCCAGAGCTTAAATCCTTCCTACCGCAGTAACATCAAGGTCTCCCCAAGTCAGAGTCACTGCACGAGCCGGGTAAGGTACAGGCCTTCCCTAGAGGGTTTGCAATCCAATCATCTCATCCCAGATGCAAAGAATGCCGCTTTCCCCTCATGTGGAGCCCTGCCCGTCACGGGAGCACTCGTGTTTACCAATGGAGAGAGCGCGTGCGTCACACGTGACAAGGGGCGGTTTGTGGCGTGGACCCTGACCCTCCGACAGCTTTCAGGACCAGGGCACTGGCTCAGACTCTCACGAGTCCATACAAAAGGTTCTGGGGTCAGATAAGCAAGACAAAGCAACCCAGTCGTCATATCTTTTTTTTTTAGGGAATGAATTTGTTACTTGGCCAAACACCTGGAAAACATAAGGCGACTCTGTAGCGCTGCAAACTCCAGCAGGACTGCACACGTGTAAGGATTTGTGTGCTCTTATTTTAGGGATTCTTGTGTCCTTTGAACTGCACCAATCCTCCTCTGTCGCCTGCCGGAGGTTCTTATAGGATTTCAGAACCGGTTACATTTGAAGCTGCATAAATTGAGATACTGCAAAGCCTTCTATACATGAACCCCAGCACGTGGCTCTGGTGCAGCTCAGCCGCATCTAAGCTGTTTGTATTTAACTTGGGCCAGCCCAGGTCAACGTGGCTCTCTAGACACTGGGGGGGGAAAAACACAGAAGAAAACTAACACAAGTTCAAAGTTCTCCCTTAAGCCCAGGACAGCAAGGTAAGCCTTCCCGCGTACCCTTCCCTGCCTTTGCTTCGCAGGCAAATCACTCGCTGCGACGAGCACCTAGGTATGCAGCTCCAAGCATGGGAGAGTGCCCAGGTGTGTACATCTGGGGAGGGCGCTGAACCCTTCCTGCATCGGACAGACTCCCGGAGAGGGCGAGATTCGGGAGACTCCAGCAGGGCACAGGTCCACGCTGGTATTCCCCGAGCAGGCCTTGCCTCAGGAGAACTCAGTTAAAAATCCTGGTTTTCAGCATCTCCCCTCTGGCCTGTAAAGGGATCCACACGCCTGCCATCACGTGTTAGCTGACAGTGCTGCACAGCTACCAGCTTTTTATTATTCGCTAGGGCCAACACAGACATGCTGGCACCGCAGAAGGAACACAACAGGCCTCAGTCTGCTGCGCACAGACTAAGAGCACAAACATCTTTATTTTAAGAGCAGGCGTTTGACTCGTGGAGCTTTCCTCACCAACACGCGGGTGGGGGGCAGAGTGGGGTTGATTCTTACAGACGGCCATAATGGTTTTATGGTTTTTAATGTCTCAGTAGAAGCCCAAAAGCAGATTTAAACGAACTGAGGTCACCTTTATGCCACAACATAATCAGAGTAACATGCGCACTGGGTGGGAAAGGGCATTTAAATAGCAGTAGCGCAGAGGAAGCTTTGAACGGTGACATCTACTCAGCTATTCCACTGGGACTTTACATTCCCTATTTTATTTTTTCATCAGTTTTCCCACCGGAGCCTCTGCCCTGTCAGTCTAACAGGAGGAAGTGGCCCAGCAACAGCTTTGTTCAGGCCAGCCTGCACCTTGGCCCTGAGAAGCGGTGAGGGCAGCATTCCTGTTCAAATCTCAGAGCTGGGCTGGGCTAGAGCCAGTTAATAATAGTGCCGCACAGTTGTGCTTTCCAGCCCTAGATGTCAAAGGACATCCTGTGCTGCGCTGCCTGCCCGCTGCTCTGTTATTTGATAGCTGGGTAGGTGCTGGGACACCTGGTTAGACTTCAAGGCCAAGTTTAGCATGCGCAGGCTACAAGGGGAAGCTGGTCAGCTGCAGCGACCTCCTCCTCTGTAAAGATCAAGCAAGGCATTTCCTACACATCGTGCGGGCACCTTCCGTCGGAGCGCCAGTGCCAACGGCCCAGGGCCATCTCTTTGCCACACAAGGACTTTGCATGAAATACACACAAGCCATTTTGGGGGAAACTGTAAATATGAAACTTTCAGCCCTCCCATAGACTTGAGCTCAGTGTGAACGTGGCTTGTGTGATGCTAAACTAAGGTCTCCCCTGAGTTATTCAACACCGAATAGGTGGCATGAAGTTGAGAGTTCGGCAGAGCTTTTCTTAAAGCATCTTTGGAAAGACTAAACGTTGCTTTTGTTGCATATTGCCCATGGAGGCCAGTTTCTCTCCCTTTATTACACCAGGGGTGGGCAAAATACGGCCCATGGGCTGGATCCAGCCCACGGAGGGACCTTGTCAGGCCCAAGAGTTCCTCAGTCCTGCCTGACCCAGGCACCATCCAGCCCATGGCGCATCCCACCGTCCCCTGGGTACACAGCGGGGCTGGGGCGACTCTGTCCTTCTAGGAAGCCCAGCCGGCAGCAGCTCCTTCCAGTTGCCACCACCGCTGGTACTGGTGGGGACCCGTGTGCACAGCCCCGAGCCCAGCTCACCCTGCCCTGCTCCGGACTCAGCCTGGTGGAGCAGACCAGCTCCAGACCAGCCGAAACCCATGCTCAGAGCCCCGACCCTCTGCGCTGCCACCGCTGCCCCGCTAAGCAGCCCGGAGGCAGCAATGGAGAGGAACCGCTGGGGAGCCCAGGCACAGGCAGCAGGGGCTGCAACAAGGGCCCAGCAGCGGTGAGGGAAGGGGTCACTTTTCCTCTCACTCCCCCACGAGCAGCAGCTTCTGCCCAGGTACTGCTCTGCGGGGTGGGCAGTGCAAAGCAGGCGCAGGGCAGGACAGGGTCAGGGCTGCGGACAGGCTCCAGCTGTTCCCCTCTGGCCAGGCCGAGTCCAGAGCAAGGCAGGCCAGGCCAGGCCCGACAGCAGAAGCAGGGAGGAGCTGCAGGGTGCGTGGGCTCCCTGCTGTTGCAGGGCAGGGGGTGCCGACCGGCCCATGGCATCTCCTCAAAACAGCCTACGTCTCCCAAGGGCCCAAATAATTGCCAGCCCCTGCTTTACACCTCGTCCACCACACAAAGCCAGAACCCACGAGTCCAGCGAGGCGTGCATCCTGCAGCGTCCATGACAATTACAGCAAAAGCAGCGCACTGCAGAATTCGGCAACCTACCTGCAGTTAGAAACCACTCCAAACCCAAGCCCCCCAGCCAGCGCAATTTGTAAGAGCTGGAGATCCAGCCCGGTTTACTAGAAACCCTTTATGCAGATGCTCTTTAAGATGCAACTACACGTTCAGCTAAACAGAGAACTGGGATCCGTCTGGTTCTAGTCCCAGATCACAGAATAAGGGGAATGTTCTTGAGTTACGGGGTTTCACCAAAAACTCTCCCAAGAGCTACACAGGGGTTCCCCACCATTTCCTCTTACGCAGACTGCTGCAGCAGACAAAGGAAAAGCTCCCAGCTTGAATGCGCCAGATTAAGGGAATCTAGACCCAGCACTCTTTCTCTTCCCCGCCTATGCAGGGGGTCGGACTCGATGATCTATTGAGGTCCCTTCCGACCCTCGCATTTATGAATCTACGAAAGGCAGGAGGGAACAAAAGCAAAGTTATAGCTATGGTCTACGTGACGCAAGTAGTGACCACAGAAGCGGCTGCGTGAAAGCCATGATGGCCGCGTTATTTGCTAGCGCTTTTCATTTGGCGTGTGGCCTGTCCAAGAACAAACCTCCCTCCCCACTTCACACTTAAATCAGGTTCCTTAGGCAGCATGTTGCTGTGCGTTTGGGTGCGAGAAGCAGGTACGTTAAGTAGTAACCTAAGCGCTCCATTCAGCTGCTCTTAGCTTCCCAAGCGGACGCTGCCTCGCAAAACCCATTCAAGTAACGATTTCCATCCACAGGGACCCGGAGGACTTTACAGAGAGCGTGTGCAAGACTCACTTCGCTCGCAGACGCACCTCGGGGACAGGACGCTCCAGTGCAACGCAGCGACACCACGTGCCAGGCAGAAAGCAAAGGGCGAGTCTAGCCATTAACGTGCTCCAAGAGGGGCCAGGTGTTAGCTCTCCGCGCCCAGCTGGCTATTTCAAATCTGCGCTTCCTATTAGGTGCCTGGGGCAGCGTAGAAACCAGTCGGACTCGATACGAGAGAGCAGAGGGCCAACACCAACCTCCCTCAGAGGCAGGCAGAAACGGAGGCTGGAAACCGGACTGTCCACCCTACCCACTCCCCCCACGTTCGATCAGGTTCTTCTCTGTATCCAGCTCGATCCCATTCACGTCCCCCATCGCACGCGTACGTGTTTGGCTGCGGATGCTTTCACTAGCGACTGGCGTCGGAGAAATCATTTCTTTCCCAAACAACCGCTTGGCCTCGCTCCCAAACCTGAACAAACCGATCCCAACCCCGGCTCTTCTTCTGAGCGACTTTGAGAGGCCGCGTGAACTCAGGCGGCTGCTTTCTCCTCCCAACCCCCCCCACCTCCGTTACCTTCTCCAGCCTCTCGAAGTATTCCCTGAGGAAACCCATGGGCCTTTCGGGTCGCACGGTGCAGAGCTGGACAATGCAATCCTTCAGGAGCTGCTGGATGTTGTGTTTTTGCACGTAGAGCTCACACTCCCGGAGGCTGCGCTCCTCCTCGCTGCTGCTGCTGCTGGAGGCGGCCATTGCTGTTGGGGGAGCGAGGAGAAGGGGACGTGAAGCTACATGGAGACGCTGCCCCACGACACTTATTTCACGTTTGTTCACGGATAGATAGAGGTGAAATGCACGGACGCCGTCTAACGAGACACGCTCGATTCCCCGGCCTCCCGGGGAGGAGGAGGAGGAGGAGGAGGAATGTCCTTGGCGTCTGGGAGGAAGTGGGAGCTCGGCTGCGTTACAGCGATCCCCGCGGGCCGAGGGGGGCAGACACCCCGTGCCCCGCGCGTGGTGGGAAGGGCAGGGGCGTTGTGCGAG